TTTCACAATACAGAGAGAACAACCCTATGACTTGAAAAACTGGAGTAAGCAGCAGTTTATAATGCTGGGGCTTACCTCAAAACTGTGAGCATGAGAAGGTCAGACATCTCTTGTTCATTTATAATTCTAAGAGAGCACGACTATAGCTAGAGCTAAAAGCTCCCCTTGACTTGGGGCCCTGGCTTTGATCGCTTTTCAGCCCTTCTACAGAGACATGGAAGATGGGCAAAGCAGTAAATTTCCTTCTCCCAAACCATTGCTCATCAATAGGAGTCTTTAAAGGCTCTTTTATATTCATTTAATATGAATATAATATATTCCATGTTAAGCCTATTTGTTTCCTACTCATCTAGACACTTTGGTGCTGCAAAGGGAGGTGAAGTGATCAGTCGCTTGTGAAAGCTTACGCATCTCTGAATTAGTCTATCAGGTACAACTGTGCCCTGCCTTAGTAGCACAAGGAATACTCTGCTAATGAGCTTCCTAGCCCCATTTTGCCCCATCTGTTTCCAAAAAAAGCATTCAAATACTGGAAATCACAGGAATTACTGTGCTTGTCAGGAGCAAAACTGGATGGATGAAGTGATTTTCCTTTCCTCCAGTCTCTTTTTTAAAAACACTCTGAATTAACTGAGTCTTACCTCTTCTTGGCTGGATTTGGGCCAACCCTGGGATTGGTGCTTGACCTGGGGAAACCTATGGTCTACTAGTCAAGTAACGATTAGATCCATTGGCAAACTTTGCAACATGACACTATGCATTATAAGTCCAATATTCACATCTCATACCCTAAAGTTCAGAACAAGCTTTATACGAATCTCAACACTAAATCTCAGCATGTTCAGTCAGCTGTTGGGCACACTCTAAACAGACAGCTAATGCATTGACTCATCCCTGGTGTCAACAACAATACCGACACCCTATCTTTGCACACGCTGGTTATTTCGGCAATTAAGCACACAGAGATCAAGGAAAGAGATAAGGTGACTGCAAACCTTCTAAAGGTCCCTTTTAAAACTGTGCGACCAGCCATAGGAGGAGGAAGCGAGATGCAGAGAGTGAGCTCCTATGATTCAGAGAAGTCACCAGCAAGGAGACACCAATAAGGAGATTCCCCCAGGGCTCTGACCCAAGTTCAGAGAATGCCCAAGAGTGGCGTGAAAAGTGGGGAAGGGAACTGTGTACAGGTATTTTATTGACTTGATGAGGTCAGTACATTTCTTGTCCTGCCAAAAGAAGAGAGCCATTTCTTTTTTGGAGACCTGTGAAAAGCCTGCTTGCTGCACCCCAAAGAGGGTGGCAGAGCTGGATCTCTTGGAAAAGGCTCCCCTTCCTGTGATAGAAAGCAATACTATTTTGCCAGATGTATCAACCAGAAGGGTAGGGAACAGATATGGGGAGGTGATGCCTTTGATTACACTGGACCATTAGCTTTTATCGAATGGAAATGAGCTACAACTCAGGTGCACAGGAAATACACACCAATGCTAACTTTACTTAAATAAGGAACAAGGATCCCACAGCTGTACAGTTCAAATCAAATCAGCTGGCACAACTGGTTTAGAAAGCAGCCTGCTCTGCTTATCCAGATCTGGTCACGTTTCTAATCACCGGTTCCTCTGGCGCATGGGGGTTTTTTTTTGTTTGTTCTTGGGTTTTTTTTTTAAAGTTTTGCCTACAACAGACACTTCTTCCTCAACTTGTCCCCAGCTGCTAGCAGCAGCAACAGGGCTACAGGCAATAAGGATGCAGAGTTTTAATTATAATGTTGTCTTTCATGGCTCTGAGCAAGGTGAGGTTGGACTGGTGGTTAAAAAATGCTGCCAAATGCCTGTGAGCCTAGTAATGGTGGTGTTTGCCCTGCAGTTTGGGAGCTGCAGCAGTAAGCCATTTTAAAAGGCAAGAAGAGACGGTACTAGGAAAACAACAGGGACTCCATGTGCATAAACTGAGAACTAAATAACCATCGCACTGCCGAATTAATTCATTGTACCAAGCACATTTCTGAATATTTCCTTAATGCTGTTTTCAGCTGCAGAGGAGTAAACACAGCTGCTCCAGCACATTTGGAGAAGGTGATGAGAGACCCATTTAAATGTCATTCTTCACGTAAAATCATCACTGAAGAAATCACTTCCAAGACTTTCTAATTATATGATTATAATGTGGTTCTGCTGAGAACAAAACACTTGTGTAAGGAGAGGTAGTTAATAGGAAAGAGAGATGTGGGTCTCTGGAAGCACAAAAAGATGCACATACTCCTTGCAACAAGGAAAGAAAGCTTAAAGGAGAGAGAGAGCTAACGTGACTTAGTGTAGTAGAGACCAGGCAGGAAAGGCCCATGTGAAGGCACAAGGGATGGGGTAAAGAACTCGCCCCCAGTCTTCATACTTGCACTGAGATTTTGGATACGCTGGGCTGGGCCACTGAGGGCTTATACGATAAGGGCTAGGATCTTGAGCTTGATAGTATATGGGATACCAGCACAGACAGCAGAAGACAAAGGAGGAACTCGCAACATAGTGCAGACATTCAGACACGCAACCCCTTGCCTCCGCTACTTGGGATTTAAAAAAAACCAACCCTCCAATGTTCTTTTTGTCTCCACAGTTTTCTAAAAGTTATTCATTTAGCCACTACACTACAGCAGCCAACCTTCATTTTCATTTTCCTGGACCACAGCACGCACTTCAGAGACAGAGGTCTTCTGGGAAGGGATGGTATCCACCTCGCGCTGAAGGGGAAGGCTCTTTTCTCGGCCAGGATGGTGGATCTCCTCAACAGAGCTTTAAACTAAGATCGCCAGGGGGTGGGGGGACAAGTGGAGGAAGCCCAGGGGCCAACAAACAGACAACCATTACAACAAGAGACAACAGGAAGGACACTTCAGCACAACCTGAGGGACTGGAGCTCCCTCAATGTGACAAGAAACTGAGGAACCTCCAGCTAAGGGCTCAAATGCCTATAGACAAATGCCAGAAGCATGGGGAACAAACAGGAAGAACTGGCCCTCCTGCTTTTCAGCAAGGACTACGATGTCATAGGGATAACAGAGACCTGGTGGGACTCTATCCATGACTGGACCATAGCTATAGAGGGCTATACCCTGCATAGGAGGGATTGCATAGGGACAAAGGGTGAAGGTGTAGCTCTATATGTAAAGGAGCAGTACACGTCCTTGGAAGCTGAAATTGGTACTAAAGGAAGAGTGACTTGAAACCCTCTAGGTCAAGATATGAGGGGGATGCAGTGAAAGGGGCCTGACTGTGGGAATATATTACAGACCTCCGAATCAAGATGAGGAGCTAGATTGGGAATTCTCTAGAAAACTGGAAGACGCTGCCAGAGAGCAAAACTGCCAAAGAGCACAGGATATGGTCATCATGGGTGACTTTACCTACCCAGACATCTCCTGGGAAGAGCACTTGGCCAGACCTGACTGGTTGCAGAGATTCCTGACTTCTATCAACGAGCTCTTCCTGTGTCAGGAAGTATATGGGTGGACCAGAGGAAATACCCTCCTAGATTTAGTCTTGGCCAAGGGGGATGACTTGGTGAGCAATCTGAAGATAGAGGCTAGGCGACAGTGACCACAACACTATCACTTTCCCTGTCCGTCGTAGGGCTGGGAAATCTGTCAGTAAGGTACAAATTCTTGACTTTAAAAAAGCTGACTTCAATAAGCTAAGCTAAGGGCTTTAGTGAGTAATGCCCTACGGGATCACGGACCGCAGGGAAAGAGTGTGGACGACGAGTGGTTGTTCCTCAAGGATATGATCCTTGGTGCACAGAAGTTGTCCATACCTGTATGCAAAAAAGGTGGCACAAGGTCTGGGAGGCTATTGTAACAGGGTGTTAAGATAGAAACCCTGTTACTTAGTGTCTGAAGGGAAGATCCTGGGACTTTGGTCAATGCAGGGAGGGGAAAAGGGGTCATGGAAAGGGCAAGGGCGATAGCTGGCCGGACCCAGCTGACAAAGATCCACACACCAGAGGGAAATAAAGAAGAGGAAAGTGGCCATCATGCTTAGAGGTGGGTACCAAGAGGCAGAGCATTGCCCTCAGGGCAATAGAAGGAAGTAAGGGGTCCTCGGCAGATCATGAGGCAGGACGGGAACGTGTAAGCTCCAGGGATCCACGGATCAAATGTCCGACTGGTGAGGGGGGGATATTTACTCCAGGGGTCGCAGGTGGCAACGATGGCCGAAGACGAGTCCGGGAAACCTGTGAAGAGAGAGTCAAGAAATGGGAATTAGGAGGGCACCGGGCAAGAGAGTTACCAGTTACTCAGTGGGGTGGTGAGGAAACCGCACTCCAGGTAATGAGTGGCGGATGTGGCTCATTAAGGCATTGTAATAAGTAATCAGTAAATGAAATTCACTGACAGCACATCTCACTTGGGGAATAACATTTATCTTTTCTTCTACCTTAAGTCATGGCAGGTGCACTTTGAGTGAGGTCGGGGAGACCCATCCACTCTCCCACAGCCATCTTGGCTTAACAGGGAAGTTGCAGATCTTCTGAAAAAGAAAAGGGAGGCTTACCAATGATGGAAGCTAGGAATAGCCCCCAAGGAGAACTACATAAGATTGACCCACACCGGTAGGGGGCAGATTAGAAAAGCAAAGGCGGTGACCGAATTCAGGTTAGCTACTGAAATCAAGTACAGTAAGAAGCCCTTCTATAGGTAAGCAGGTAACAGAAGGAAAACCAGTGGAAATGTGGGACCACTGCTCAATGCATCTGGACATCTGATCACTGACACCAAGGAGAAAACTGAACTCCTGAATGACTACTTCACATCTGCATTCCACCAGTCTAAGAGCGATAGCCTGCCGAATGCAAATATGACACAGAATAGTCACTGTAGGGATGATCACCTACCAACAGTCAATGTAGAGCTGGTAAAAGAACAGCTAGAGAGGCTATCTACAAGTCAGGAGGACTTGATGAACTCCATCCAAGAGTGCTGAATGAACTAGCTGAAGTCATTACAGGAGTGCTGGTGAACCTCTGAGAATTCATGGTGCTCAACCAGGAGAGGTCCCAGAAAACTGGAAGAGGGCCAGTGTTGTGCCCATCTTCAAGAAGGGGAGGAGAGAGGACTCAGGGAACTACAGGCCAATCAGCCTGACCTTAATCACAGAAAAAAATTCTCATGGAGTCCATATGTGGCAAGCTATTAGAAGGCAAAATTTTGAATGACAGCCAGAACACCTTTGTCGTGGGTAGGTTATGTCTGACTAATCTCATCTCCTTCTATGACCAGGTTACTCACCACCTGCATAAGTGAGATGAGGTTGGTGTCATTTACTTGGACTTTAGAAAGGCCTTTGAACTTGGTGTCCCATGAGGTTCTCAAGATAAAAACTAGAGGACTATGGGCTCAACAGTTCAATGGTCAGATGGGTGGGAAACTGGCTGTGGGGTCAGGCCCAGAAACTACTAATAGACGGATCCATGTTGACTTGGCAGAAGGTAGACAATGGGGTCTCCCAGGGTTCAATCCTTGGACTGATGCTTTTCAGCATCTACAAAAATGATCTGGATGTGGGGGGTGAAAAGCACACTGGCAAAGTTCACCGATGACACTAAGCTTTGGGGAAGTGTGGTCACACCTCAGGGTAGGCTGATGATCCAGGTAGACCTAGATAGATTAGCTGAATGGGCGGACCAGAACTAGATACTCTTCAACACTGAGAAGGAAAAACTTCTTCATGGTTCGTGTGACCAGACTCTGGAATAGACTCCCAGCAGGGGTGGTGCAGGCACCTACCCTGGAGATCTTCAAAAGGAGACTGGACACACACTTTGCTGGGGTTATTTTACCCCAGCAGTCTTTCCTGCCCAGAGCAGGAGAGCTGGACCCAATGATCTCACGAGGTCCCATCCGGCCCTAAATTTCTGCGAATCCTCTGTTTTCCATTGGACATCATTCCCTCTTTCAGGCTGAAATTCCTCATTCTCCTTTCTGGCCCTTAAGGGACATTTCCTCCAAGTATATTGATTCTTAATTGTCAGAGTATTGAAAACCTGGAACTGAATCGGGTGTTTCTGCACCACATTAAACAGTTCCCTATTAATCCCAGCAGTGGGTGAACTGGCTCCTGTATCTGTGGCTTGTAACTCAGATGATAAAAGTTCTTGAAATGCACTGCACTATACAGGAATGATGGAAAAATGGCCAATCAAAATAAAGGCAAAATGTCTGGGTTTGTTGCTGTCAGAGAACTCTGACTGTGGGGAATTCTATGCCATGCACATTTCTTTCTCCTGTGCCAAAATGCACTTGAAGACCTTCTTCACACTTTCCAGTCCCTCTGGCTTTGTACTTTGGCTAAACTCCAGCTGTATGCATGGTATTGTAGCCATTTTGCAACCTTTTTGGAAATCCTTGCATCCAATTCTTTTTCTCTGTTTATGCACTTTATTTTTTTTAATGAAAAATGAAAGCAAGTCATATAATGAGTCCAAGAGAGAAGAGCAGTCCTACTTAACACAACTCAAATTCTCTTGCACAGGTCACATAAAAGGAGCTTTGTTCACAAGCCCACATGTCCTGATGAACCACACTCTCTCCCACTATCTACCCAGACTTCAATTATTGCACTGAGCAGTTCATTGTTTCATAGTGCTCAGGGCCGGAAGAGACCTAAACAGACCATCAAGTCTGACCCCCTGCCCTGGACAGGAACGAGTGCAGGGTCATAACCCCCCAGCCAAATATGTGTCCAGTCTCCTTTTGAAGACCCCACGGTCAGGGTGGCTAGGGTCTGGAACCAACTTCCAAGGGAGGTTTTTAAAAACCTGGGGGTTTTTAAGAAGAGGTTAGATGAACACCTTGCTGGGGTCATTTGACCCCAGTACTCTTTCCTGCCATGGCAGGGGGTCAGACTAGATGATCTTCTCAGGTCCCTTCCGACCCTAGAAACTATGAAACCCCCAAGGTAGGAGAGAGCACCACCTCACTTGGGAGTCCATTCCAGAGCCTGGCAGCCCTAACCATGACGTAATGTCTCCTGAGGACCAGCCCAAACCTTCTCTCTAACAATTTGTGGCCATTATGGCTCGTAACTCCTGGTGGAACAGAGCCTCACCCGATTCCTGCTGGTCCCCCCAGTGAGTTTGTAAGTGGCCACCAGATCCCCTCTCAGCCTTCTCTTGTGGATGCTGAATAGGTTCAAGCCCTTCAGCCTCTCTGCATAGGGACTGACCCTTGACCATGCAAGTAGCCCTCCTCTGGACCCTCTCAATCCTAGCCACATCCCTTTTGAAATGCAGTACTCTAACACCTAACCACCCCTTACTGTGGGAGAAGAGATCCCAGACCCAGGCTTGAACTTACATCCTTCTAGCTCATAACCCAGCAGCCAAACCCCTAAACTAGAGAGCTAGGCTAAACAAATCCTGGATGTTGGGGGCCAGCCTGGAGCCTGGGCACACACCCAGGCTTGAACTCACAACTCTTTGGCCCCAGACTCAGCATTCACCCCCCTAGGCAAGACAGCCAGAACAAGTGCAAAATCTTTCCCTGGTTAAGATGAACAAATCCAGTTCCAGGCTTCAAAATCATTCCTGATGACTGGTGAGAAATGCATCAAAGGGTGCTCTTTAAAGAGCACTGGCAAGAGATTTCTCTAGGCTTAAAGTTCCTGTACATATATTCCCCTTCATAAAATTATAGCTTTCAGCACTTAATGTCTAAGATTATTATGGCTGTATGTAAATCCTGTAGTGAAAATGCTCTTGACAAATAATGCATCTACAGATCACACTTAAACACATGCATATATCTATATCTATCTATATCTATATATTTATAAATAAACTCATGTTGGCATTAATGATGGTTAGGTAAGCAGACAGTGGAAGTATTGTGCTCTGATCTACTATTTTACCTCAATAAGCATCAAGTGACTGAGGGACACAGAAGAAATAGTTGTCCTCTTGCCATCTGTCAGACAGACATTACAGTTCTGGTGAGAGAGCAGGGATCAGGCGAACAGCCAGATAAATCCTACATTGCATTTTCCAGCCACAGACCGTTGAATGTTTTCTCTAATGAGTTTCAATTCATCACCTTGAGGATTTTCATAGGAAGACTCCTCCTAAAGGTGTTTTGCACAACCATAACAGAATAACAGAGAGTCCCATGCCTTTGACAGCTCACTTTTGGTAACTGAACGCTGGCATCACAAATGAAACCTAAAGAACGATTCAGTAGGTCATTAGGAATGAGCATGATGAAGAAGAGAAAATATACAAAGAGGAAAAATATGAATGCTAAGTGCATGGGAATATTGTGCTCCCCTTGAAAGGTCAATGCACAAAATACACTGGCCGGGTGTTCACTACCTGTCAGGAAGATTGTCATTCAAGAGCCCCAGCAGTAACAATGATACACATGCTCCAGAAACATAAGTACAGACCTTGCCACAATCCTGGAGGACTCCTAGGTGCAGCTGTGTGCACCATGAATGAGAGCCAGTGGTGATACAAAGAATCTCAAAACACTTACCGACTGCCTATCTGCAGCTATTTCAGGGACACAACAGATTCCTTGAACCAGATGTTCTAGAGCTTTGCAACCCAAGCAGGGTCCAGGAGTCCAGAAGAGCTCACCTGGGGCATGTGGAGATGAAACAATATTTCCCGTTTATGTTGACGCAAGTGTTTTTGTGTTTGCACAACCTGGGATTTCCCGCCGCTCTAAAGTCCATTTAGCACCTTAAATTAACACGACTCGGAGATGTGTTAATTTGGAGCGCTCTCCAGTTACGCTGCTCCAACTGTGGATTTGTTCGTGCAAACAGCCAGACTCCAAAGACTTCTAATTAATCCCCTTCGCCACAAGGGGGCGCTGTGTTCTGGCCTTCAGCCAGTAGGCCCCTGTGTGTTCGTTTTTACCCTCCTTCACTCCTCCCTCACAGCATGCAGTTCAGGTCGAGACAGGTCTGCTCAGAACAATTATTATTTTAAAATGGGGGAGACAAATAATCCCTTAATTTTCTACCTCCTCTTAATTTTTCTGCCTCCCCACTCCCACTTACTAGACATCTAAAAGAAGGGCCAGCTTTGCAAATGATTGTGTGTTCCCAACTGCATTGAGCTGTGAAGAATCCAGTGCCCCAGGTTGGCTGTCTGAGATACACAAGAGAGAGAGAAATAATGGTTATGTATAAAAAAAAATAATGCATAATTTTTTCTTGACAAGCCAGAGGCCCCTAGGAAATGGCCTGAAGGCAACTTGTCCTGTCACACCTGTATAATGCCTTCTCTTCGCATGTAGGGTGGGAGTCGGATACCTCCTACCATTTCCCACAGTGGAGATGGATCATTTTCTCACCGAAGGAGGAGAATATGCAAACAGGATGTCTGTAGGAAGAACCTGAGGAACTGGGAATAGAAACAGAGGCAGTCTAGGCTGTATGCACTTATATTGCATTTTCTAGGTCAAAGGATTTCATTTAACCCATCTCTTCCATTTTCTGTTGCTCTTTTGTTCTTTAGGCTTCACTAAAACCTTCTCTGCAGCTGTCTCACGCTTGGAATTTACAAGTTGAGAACAATTTCTTATTTAAAAAAAAAAACAACAACAAGTAAGAGGTGAATGATTTATGCTTCCTCGCCACATGCATTATACATTACGAGGCTCAGGAGCTGGGGAGAAAAAAAGTACATGTCAAGAAACCGTCTGGTAAATGACTGCTTCCCAGTCCGGCAGCCTCAGGGGAAGCTGTGCTCAGGTAGGGAAGCTGTCAACAGGCTGAATGAGATGAGAGCAGGCAACAAAAAATCCCCAAAATCTGAGGGAAACGAAACCACAAGGAAGAAAATTAGGTTAAGTGTGAAGACGTTCAAAAAAGGAAATCTATGAGGTAGAGAAGGGATGAGAGCCTGTCATGTGCCTTTGAAAGGGGTAAATGAGCTCTGATGGATGCAATTCTGGTCCCACTGCAGATGAAAGAGGCCTGGTTTCATAAATCACTCAGCACCTGATTGCTCCTACAAAGCCACTACGTGTAGCAAGTGCTCAGCACCTCAGAGAAAGCAGGCCCATAGCATCTGGCCATCAGCTTATGTTTGGTTGACCAAGGAAACTTCAGCATATGGAAACATCCCATATGGCACCCCACCACTCATGCCTACATTCTCCCCGAGTGATTTTGCAGCCTTCTCGTATGGCTGCAAGATGTCCATCTACTCTCACACTGCCAGCAGCAAAAACCTATCTTGGAAGAAAGCTACATATCTGTACAACCCCAGGAAGCTCCACACAACTTGCCTGGCTAAGCAGCAGCTAGTTCACGGCTCATGTCTTGTGTGGTAATAACCTGATCTGCCCTCCTGGAAAAGCTGGCTCCTCTAAAAGCTAGACATCAGCATCTTCATAGTCATAGAAAATTAGGGTTGGAAGGGACCTCAGGAGGCCACCTAGTCCAAACCCCTGCTCAGAGCAGGATCATCCCCAAGTAGATAATCCCAGCCAAGGCCAGGTCTTAAAAAGCTCCAAGGATGGAGAGTCCATCACCTCTCTGGGTAGCCTGTCCCAGTGCTTTACTACCCTCCTAGTGAGAAAGTTCTTCCTAACATCTAACCTAAACTTCCCTTGCTGTGACTTGAGCTCATTGCTTCTTGTTCTGTCATCTGTCACCACTAAGAACAGTCCAGCTCCATCCTCTTTGGACCCACCCTTCAGGTAGTTGAAGGCTGCTATTAAATACCCCCTCAGTCTTCTCTTCTCCAGACTAAATAAGCCCAGTTCCCTCAGCCTCTCCTCACAAGGGTGCAGAGGAGGCCACTCGCATGATTGGGGGCAGCAGGGCAGGCCTACAAGGAGAGGCTACGGGACCTGAACCTGTTCAGCCTCCACAAGAGAAGGCTGAGGGGGGATCTAGTGGCCATCTATAAACTTACCAGGGGGGACCAGCAGGGAATGGGAGAGTCCCTGTTCCCCTGAGCACTACCCGGAGTAACTAGGAATAACAGCCATAAGTTGACTGAGAGGAGATTCAGACTAGACATCAGAAGGCGCTACTTCACAGTCAGGGCGGCTAGGATCTGGAACCAACTTCCAAGGGAAGTGGTGCTGGCTCCTACCCTAGCGGTCTTCAAAAGGAGGCTGGATATGCACCTTGACCCCAGTACTCTTTCCTGCCCATGGCAGGGGGTCGGACTTGATGATCTGCTCAGGTGCCTTCCAACCCTACAAACTATGAACTATGAAGTCATGTGCCCCAGCCCCCAAATCATTTCCACTGCCCTCCACTGGACTCTCTTCAATTTGTCTACATTCTTTCTGTAGTGGGGTGCCCAAAACTGGACAGAGTACTCCAGATGTGGCCTCACCAGTGCCAAATAGAGGGAAATAATGACTTCCCTCAATATTCTGGCAATGCTCCTACTAATGCAGCCCAGGATGCCGTTAGCCTTCTTTGCAACAAGGGCACACTG